CATTTAAATAAAAACATTTAAACAACGCATACACAAAGAGGGTCCATTAAACAACTTCAGATATGAGGTTCCAAAGCCTTCATACATTAAAGGTGTTAACTACAAGTGGGCGGCTGTGGCTGTGAGGGAGTGTGGTCGTCTTTCAACCAGAAGGTTGTGGGTTCGATCCCAGCCCATGCAGTCAACATGTCGATGTATCCTTGGGCAAGATACTTAACCCTGAGTTGCTCCCGATGGCATGGCCAACGGTGTGTGAATGTGTGTGAATGTTAGGTCCTAGAGTAAGGTACACTGCTCTGTATGAATGGGTTTGAATGGGTGAATGACATGTAGTATGTAAAGTGCTTTGAGGGGTCTTAAAGACTGGATAAAGCGCTATATAAGTACAGTCCATTTACCATTTACCATTTACAAGTAAGGAACAAAAAAAGATAGGATATCGGGCGCAGTTCCTCACCTTGGCATCACCTTGGTAACCATTGGAAATGGTGTACTTGGACTCCACCAGCTGTTTGGTTTGCTCGATCATCTGTCTTCCAAAACCTGTGACGCTCTAAATGAGAGAAAGGACGATTCAAATTAAAAATCCCTAAATGATCAGTGGGGTTGAAACCAGAGGCCATCAGCAATGAAGGAAAAGCATCACCATGTCTTTCAATGACAGGGACAAAATTGCCTAAGGCTTTTTATCTCAAACAGCTCATGTAGAAACAGCTCTCTGTGGGGGTGTAACCAAGTCAACCCTCCACAGAACAGCAACAAAACCAGATCGTTGTGGCTGATTGTAACACGTTTGTTCCACCTGTTCTGGTGCTTCTATCTACACACACATCTTTGCTCTACATCTTTGTAGTTTACCCTCCCAGCTCTGACTTTAGCATGAAGTTAAAAACAGCTGTGTTTGAGCCAGAGTTGTAAACATTTGGTATTTTTAAAAACAAAATGTTGTGAGTGGCAGTCTGCAAACTGTTTAACGGTGCACATTTTACAGGTAAATGTTTATTTGTCAAGCTAAGGAGAGGTTGATATCGATTCATGTATTGTAATAAGTTATCCATATATGTAGACCTATGCCTAATAGTATTATGTTGAATCCATTCAAAACTGCAAGCTGCCATAATGAAACCAAATGTATTGAAAACCCTCTGTTTGGTTTCCAATAATTGTATCAAAAGGAGAACAAAGTACATTAACTTTAACACCGACATGAGACCCAGGGTAAAGTGCCCACCTGAGAGATCTCCAGGCAGGGCAGCTTGCCGACCTGAGCCCCCGTGAAGCCGTACACGGAGTTTGCACTGATTTTGAGAGCCAGCTGCCGGCCGTCCAGCACCTGCCTCTTGAAGGGGTCCGTCTCATTCTTTAGCTCCGTTTTGGCCCTGTGGACAAAGTGGGAGAGAATGAGCAGGAAGCCATGTCTGCAAAATTATTTTTTTCTGTTGTGACTAAAATATATAATAAGTATTTTCTAAATGATTCCTGAGTTTTGTTCTGGTACACCCATCTTTAGGCCTTAAATACATTCATAGTTGATCTAATCAACTGGAAAACTGTGTTTAACAGAGATTTGCTAATACGTTTCCTGAAAATAACCATTCAGCATGAAAAAAGGACTTAAGAATTCTTAGTCGCCTTATACCAAATCCACTAATTAGTCAACTACTTGATGAAGACGGGCCCCCCTACAAATGTTGTTATTTTTCCAGAGACACTACAAGGGTTACCAGCAAGTAAGATTAGATGGATAGGTACAGTGGGACTGGAGCCGTCTACAGAATAGCAAACCGTTAGCTTTAGTTCAGGTCGGTTTAATCGAGTGATTTATTTGACATACTTCTTCCTGGCAGACAGCAGGTTCTCCAGGATCTCAGGCAGGAGTCCTTTCCTCACGGAGCTTTTCACAAACATGTCCCCAGTGGGAGTCTTGATGAAGTTCTCTGGAGCGAGGCTGAAGAAACACAACCGGTTCATATGTTAGCTCATTGATAACATACATGAACACTGTTACGTTTTATGTGTTTAATTGTAAATTGAAGTCTAAATGAATAATACAAGCTGAAGATGGAAGTCATTGACATGTTCCAGGTTAAATCCTTGTAGAGAATTGATGTTAACAAAAGTGTAAACCGTTAACTAAAATAAGCCTACAGGCTGATTAAATGTATACTCAGTGATGCAAACACAGGTATGGTGAAAAAAGAGAGAACTATTCGAAGCAGAAAAAAAACAGCGTAATATACCATCTGACAATGACAGATTTTTCTTTTTGGATATTTTACAAATCACTCCCCTTTCAAACTCTATTCTTGTTATTTTTAACAACTTTTTTTTGTTACTGTCATATAGTATTTTATACCTGTTAATAACTATAATGATCATATCAAGGTGTGCCTTAACCTCACTGAGCTGAGGTTATTTGAGCCTCTCAGGAGAGCTCTCTTCCACCTGGTTGTAGAAAAGCTCTTTAAATTCGTTAGCATAGCTAGCTAACCAGATGCTAATAACAACAGATCGCCACTGTGCTTACAACTAAAGACACAGCCTCGCAAACACTGCGGCATGTGTACGGCTCCTTATAGGTACTGCAATATTTGAAGAGCTGGAGCAGCGTTCCGATGCTCTCCGTTACTCCTTCCAGACGAGACATAACCACGTGAAGACCTATGGTGAAGACACGTTACGCTCGTGTTGTGTTCAATGAACCTGTCCTTGGACAGGAAAAATTGGCACTCGCTTGTTTAATTATTTTGTTATCTAGATTTCTTCTTCTTTTTTGAAGTGAGAAGTTGTCCGTCCGTCCGTCAGTCGGTCGGACGGACGGACTGACGAC